GGTGGTAATTTAAAATATAAAGTTAAAGGGTTAAGTTGTATTTTAGTCATTCTAATATAAGTAAGTATATAGTATAAGTGCTCTGTACCCTCTGATCTCAAATTGCACTAAATAGTAAGTAGACAAGCCAGGATGTGGGACCTTATACAGATACACATGCTTTTGATAATTGTAAACATAGACATGTAGGACAACCTGTGATCCAATTGAGCAGAGTCATATCTGGTTTTGCATCTGCCAATATATTCAAAAAAGAGAAACAAAAACTGCAAGGGGTGAGAATCTGTCTCCCATGCAATGGAGGAAAAATAAAACAGATTCGTAATTTGAATCTCAGTTACTTTGGACCAAGTCACATCCTTCTCGAATCTATAGAAATCAGACCAGAAAGAAAAAGCAAAGATAAAGAAAAAGCAGCAAGTAAAGATTGCTCCTTTGCTGAATTGGCTTTACTGGGATACCTCAATTTGCTTCCTCTCCTTAAGTAATCTATATAATCATTTGATTAGGATTTGCAAAAGATGTGGTTTAACTAACAAAAGCTTATTAAGATACAAGAAAAATATCAAAGTAGGAACCTTCCTGCCTTTGAGGCCATTTAATGGTGTCTATTTGAGATCCTATAAATGGACAAGCAGTTATGCAGTATGTTTTTTGTGTATTCATTCTCCTGCTTAACTTATAACTATGTGGGATCACTATAGGTCCACATGGCATGTCAAAGATAACCCATGTTATTTTGATGCAGCTATCAAGGCAAAAGGAAAAGCAATTGTTAACTGTGTAATCATTAAATTAAGGAAAGTGCTTTGTTGAACACAAGACACTTAAAAGAGGGTGCCACCATAAAAGGAATTCCCAAAGATTACTAAAAAATTAAAGCCTAATTATATTATGCATGGCAAGTAGGCCTTTTTCTTGCGTTTCACCGCTCCAATAATCCAATTTGGTATGGTGTGTCTTGTTTTTTCTCATGGTATATTCCTATCCATAAATCTCTCTCTCTCTCTCCCTCTCTTTAGATTTGAGTAGGGGAAAAGTAAATAGTATACTGTGTAGCCTTCAAAAGTAGTGTCTTTCTCAAGGTTCTCACGTGTAATTTGTAAGATAAGGATGATGATGATGATGACAAAAACATACTCTATTTCACTTATTCATGCATTCCTGTAGCTATAAATTGCACATGTTTCTTGACTTCAAGAATTTGAGGACATAAAATGCATCCAAAATTTTGGTTACTTCATTATCTAAGGCCTTGATTTACAACACTATCAAAGGTACATTCCCAACAAAAGAAAAGAAAAAAAAAAAGGATAAAAAAGAGATAGAACATTAGGTCACACTTATAGCCTTCAAAACGCTTGCAATAATGTAACAACAATATCATATAGAACACATGCTGAATTCTTCCACAAGGGAATAGCAAAAATTCAGGATTTCTTCTATGATTTTTCCTCAAACTAGTTGTGACTCTTCCCAGTTTCTCAAGCTTGCGTAGGAGGCTGTCTAGATTTCACTGCTCTCCTGAAGTCATATATTAACAAATATATTCAGAATATTGAGTTGAGGTAAAGGATGTGAATAGAAATGAAATGACATGAAATTCCATGGTACGACAAGATGTGCAATGCTTTGTTTCACATACTCCAATAATGGTAATTATCACAATGGGTCCTCAAATATAGAGTATGTAACAGTAATAGGCAGCAAATTCCAATTTGAACTGATATTTGAATTGGATTGATGAATTAAAATGAGTCTAAAAGTAGTTCATGATCCTCCAATAAATTAATCAAGCTTTCCATAGAAAGGAAAAGGAGCTACCTAATTCTTTTTTTCCCTCCAATAACTAAAGTGGTACAGTTCTTCCCCCAATGCCTTTTTTCGGTTTCTCATGAAAATAAGAGAAAGATTGTTAGTTAAAGAAGCTTTTGATAAAGAGTGAGAATTATCACTCTCTCTTGAGTGTTTCAAATATAAGTCCATTATTCTCTAGTTCCACTTTAGCTAAGTAGCAAAAGAAATTGGTACGAGCCTAGGCCTAATGAATAGAAAGAAAATGGATTTCAAGATTACCTATTCTTGATTTAACCTTTTTTCTTAACATACTAAAATGAATACAGAACCATATTTAAAATGAAACAGATATTTATGCCACCTTGTAGTGGATTTGTCTTTCTATCTTGTGTTCAAGAAAAAAAAAATCAAAAAATAAATAAATAAAACAAGTTTGAGCTCCAACGCTGGATGAATTACCCTACTATGATCCTACAGCTTTACTAAACTATTTAATCACCCACAATTCCCCTTTTTCATTTTATGTAGTAAGTAAGGCATGCAGATTATAAGAACAAAAGTATAAGAAAGAAGAGAGTATTTGATAGATGTGTGTACCTGTTATGAATTGGATCAGGTCCATTAGGTACTCTTCTCTTGCTCACAAAGATTAGTCCAGAATGTGAATGCAGTGCATGTTTCTGCATGCCAACCAACTTCAAATGCTTGGAGATAACATTTATTGGAACTAGTACTGTCCTTTTGTTTTGATTGTTCACTGAAATTACAAGGAACATAAACCAGATGATTCCCACAGATACCAAAGCCCCAAGAAGCAACCTTCTACAGCTAACACCACCACCACCACCACCAACACCCATATCTTATAATCTCTCTTATGACTTTCCACCTTGTGGCAGTGGCTGGCAATTGAAGTTAAAGGTATGAGAGTGTTTCAACAACATTTTGGCATTGATCACATAAAGATATAATATAAGAAGCTGAGAGAGAGAAGAAAAGAAAAGAAAGAAAGAGCTAGCAACAAGAAAAGGACAAATTAATGAACTGGTTCCTAACTTGGCGGGCTTAGGAGAGAATGGTTCTATTTAAAGGCAGACAATTGAAACTGTTCTCTTTGGAGTGTGTGTTGTGGATGTGTGTGTGAGAGAGAGAGAAAAGAGGGGAATGGGAGAAAGGGTGAAGTGAGCATGGACAAACATAAAAGGCCAGTGAAACAGAAAAGTTAGTTATTTGAGTCTATTTAGCTGTTAAAAAAAGGGTCCACATGAACTCTCTTTTACTGGGTTTGTGCATTTTCATGCTACTAGGAAAGAGAATCTCACTATGATCTCTCTAACTCTCACATACTCTGTTTGTACTTTGTAGGAATGAAAACCTTGCCAAATTATGTGTCAAGTGTTGATGAAATGAAACTTAAAGAGTACAGATTCATATAATGCAATTTCCCCATAGGTGTCACTCAAAACCAAGGAACAAAAATTACATAAACAGCATAAATATAATTGAGGTAGGATCCTTTGACACTAGTGTCAAATTTCAAATTTGACACTTCTTCTGAGAGCCATCAGATCAAAAAAGATCAACGACTTTGATTTGTAAGTATATGACACCATTGATTTTTTTTGATCTGATAGCTCTCAGATAAGGTGTCAATTTGACACTGGTGTCAAAGGATCCTACCTGAATATAATTCAAGTGCCCTTCATTATTTCTATGGAAATATAAACTTGCTAAGTAAGAGACTGATGACCATTTTCCGTGAAGTACATCATGATCTATTTCTAAAATCTTATACATATCTCATTAAAGTGAAATTCAGAACTTTTTTTTTTTTTTGAAAAAAAAAATATTAATATATTGTAGTCAATAGTAATATACTTTTGTGGCATCTAATTTTTTAAGAAGTGCTTAAATGCTAAGTTCAACCGAATGTATCTCTGCTTATTTATGGTTTGGTTAAGTTTCTAAATGTATAATTTGATTTAAAATTCTTTTCGGAATAAACCCTTAATTTGATCTTTAAAACATTTTCAAAATATTCATTTATTTTTCAAAAGATTAATGACATTAAACTGGTCCTAAAATAATTATTTTCGGTCATTACGTGACATGGAGGACCAAAATGGGTTTACTATTCATTTTTGGAAGATTGGAGATATTTGAATTGGGTCTATTGCACTGAGAAATTGAAGCTAGAAGGGTAGAAACAAGATATATTAAAATATTTTTTGTAGTTGTAGATGTTGATTTTATTGAGCAGTGTTTGGTTTTGTCATTGCATAGTCCAAGGGGAGAACAACCGAATGCACCTACAACCCTGTGCTATTAGTCCAAGGAAGTAATGGGACTCTTGAGGATGATAAACTCTTTAGGCCTCATGTTTAAACCGATGCACATTATATTAAAATATTCTCTAGTTTCCTGTTTAGCTTTTGCGTTTTGGCCCCTTAATTAAGCCATTATGTTTTCTACAGTTGATTTTTCCTACAAAGACCAACCTATAATCATGCTTTTTTATTTCTTGTATGAAAATTGTCAAAAGAAAAACATAGCAAAACGCTAGCAGAAAAACTCATGTTGCCTTAGTGATAAAGTCAAACATTCAATTTGTACTTTTTTTTTTTTTTTTTTGTAGTGGATCCTCTCATGTGACATCATCAACCATTGAGATATGCAAGGGTGATGAGAAAATTTAATAGAATAAAGGATAAGAATAAAATCACTCTTGATTTATATCCATCTTACATGACCTCATGTATTATGAGATGATTCATTCTATATTTTTTTAGTAAATAAGGAGGGAAGAAGCGAACTTATGATGTGTATTTAAATGGTTTGTTAACATACTTGCAAATACTTACCAATGTCTTAGAAAATAATATAAACTATTAACAAGACCCTCAACTAACAGTTTAAATTTTTGGATTGAATTGATTCTTTACATAATATCAAAGCATCAGTGTCACAGGTTTGATTTTTACCATCCCTCATTTAATTTATAATTAATTTAGTCTTATGGAGTTTGTTAACAGAGGAAGATAGGCCTATGCATTGTCCATCATTTAAGTCCAATGAACTCTCGTGTGAGAAGACATGTTAGAGAATAATATAAATCATTAATAAGGCCCTCACCTCACAACTTAAGCTTTTTGATTAAATTGATTTTTTATACCATCCAATACTCGTTTCAGACTTTAGGAGCAAACAAGCCATGAATATATTAAGCATATATCAATCTTCAGCTGAGGGGGTCCCACATTATATGCAGAAAAGAATTCAAGATTATAATTCACCACATATAACATGACCTGTTGCAGGGACCAATATGATATACTGCCTAATTACAGCTTTTGAAGAAGTGAGACATTTGCCAAAAAAAAAAAAAAAAAAATTGTTGAGTGTTGACCCCTTTAAACATTGCACCAGCAAGTTTATCAGCCTTTACTGCATCTGTGTCATTTGAATGCGTGATCTCCTCTTCTTTTGGGCCCATGTTGGTCCATAAATTGCCAAGAGCGTCCGGCCAAACCTTCTATCAGTTATCTGTAGTTTCATACAACCACTTAACAGCTTAAACACTCTGGCATTTCATTAAAATTCATAACTAATGTAATAATGAATTCATCAATTGCAGGTCTTGCACCATCATTTTGTATGTGGTTTATATGTGGTGCAACAAGAATCTCAAACATTTTGTATGTTATGCAAACACGGTACTATTGGTTACTTGAATTACCTTCACAAGGCTTCCACAAGAATCCATCATGTCAGTTTTTAAAGGATACTCAACTACCTATATCAGAACATGACAGTTCAATATAAACTTAGTAAGTAGAAGACCATTTGGACTAAGAATAAGAAGGTAAGAAACTACTACATACAATAAAAGTATGCTCTCCAACAAAGGATGATTCTGATATTTGTCTCATCAGCACCTCATAGTCAACTTGTGTATATGGAGGGGTGACACTAATGTAATCAAATGGGCCACCGTTTTCTGCATGTAAACAATTGAAATTTATAACAGCAGAAATGGTAGGACGCTAAGAGTCACAAACTATAGGATACTTTCCAATAAGGAAGCTAACTTTTTTTAGTAAAATGAATGACAAATCCCATGCTTAATTTTCCTAGCACACTCTCTTTGGCAATTGTCTGTGGTGGAAGATAGAGATGGAAATATTTATTGCATCCCCTTAAATAAGGGTCTTAACAGTAGCTACATAAAAAACAACAGAAGTTTTGCTTCCAGAACTTTTTCTCGTAATTCCTCCGCCCAACAATATTTTTGCATCAATCATTTCATATTTCAAGCCATAAACTTTTTTTTGAGGTGGAGGCTTGGTGCAATAATAAGGTTGCTCCTTAAGATCAGAATGTCACATGTTCGAGTTTAGGAAACAACCTCTTTACAAAAATGCAAGAGTAAGATTGTGTGCAGTCAACCCTCACCACTCAGGGAGCCTTGTGCACCGAGATTTGCCCTTTTGTTTGGGGGGGGAGGGAGGTGGTGGATGAAGTTATAAATTATTTTGTAGCCCTATAATTTTGCATAACCCTTATCCTAGTTGACTAAGATGCTACGAGGATATGCATAAAAAGGAATTAATAGGGAAAAGATGTACATGCCTACAAATTGCTCTGCACGTTCAAAGAATTTTTCCACACGGACTGTATGTATGACTGAAACATCAAGAAATCCAGTCCCCTCTAAGTTTGGACGTAAAACATCTGATACAACCCATGGATCCATCTCAACAAAATGCACCTGAAAATTTTGTTTAATCATATAAACAAGGGACTTCAGGCATGAAACACATTATTATACATGGGAAAATTAAAAAAAAAACAAACTGTTGAAAAATGAAAATCCTTTTGTGCATCTCTTTGAACTTGATGAAAATCTGTTAATTCCATTTCTTAACAGAAGGCAGATTATATCACTTAGGAGATAGCTCAGACAATCTCACAAGTGATCATAAATTTTGCAAAGCTCACAATCCATAAGATAGAGTGATTTGCAAACTTCTCACTGAAAATATTAATACCTCGGAACATCCGCGGCTAAGTGCTTCAATTCCAACAGATCCGGTACCACTATACAAGTCTAACCAGCGTCCAGGTCTCAAGGATGCAGGACACCCACCAGCTGCCTTGGTATTGTAAAAGAAAATCATTAGTATAAACAAGAAAGTTGCTGCAAGGAAATTATTCAGACTAGATGAAACCCAATAGCAATAATTAATACGCAAACAAGTGTACTATATAGGAGATAAAACATCCAACTTGTACCTGTAATATATCAAAGGCTGCACCTTTCACCACTTCCATCATGGGGCGTACATCCATGCCCTTTGGTGAGAGCAGCTTCTTTCTTCGAGCCGTTCCTCCAAGAACCTATGTAGCCATTGGAAATAAAAGCCAAGGATACTTTCATCATTTCTAAAATCTAATTTCTATAGGATTTAAAATCAATAAATCAAGGTAGTCCACCCTTGAGGTTTTAATGCCTTGAGCATTAGCATCAGAAAAAGAAGACAATAGTAAAATATTTGACTATTTTACATTAATTTGTCATATAAATTAACTACTCAAGCACAACATTCAGAGTAAAGTAAAACAGTCAAATATTTAAGTGATAAAGCTTGGTAAGTTGATAACAAGCTCCGAAGATTAGTTTACAACCAAAATAGATGTGGCACCCTTGAGAATTAACATTAATAACAGAAAGAGATTAACAGCCCAAGGTTAGGAAACATAAGAGAAATAGAAAACAGTCCAAGAATGCATCCATGAAATCATAATCAGATTCAATTCCATAGCTGTCATCACTTTCATCTCCATCTAATAAATAACCAAATATCTCTACTCATTACCAGGTTAATATTTTAGAAGAGTTAATAATCAATGATGGCATGAGTCATATATCCCAAGTTTAAACACTGCTTTGTCTCTATTCTTTCTCTTTGAAAAATCAAGAATGACCAACTGATGGGCAAGTAAAGTATGAAGTCCATAAATAGGGGATAGTGTTATAATGTGAGAATGATAATATTCCAAGTATCCATAACATCTTAAACCTTTAGGAATGTTGGTAATTCATCATACATGTAGGATGCAAGCATCCTAAATGATATTGGAAGGTAAAAACTGCAGAAAAAGGAGAATTAAGCTCCTCTAAAGTGTAGGGTACACTTTACATTGAATCCATCACTTTCCCAGTTTTTAGTTTTTGATAAAGGTTCTATCTATGAACATTAAAAAAAAAAATTAAAAAAAAAAAAAAAAAAACTCCGTAATTATCCTTATCAATTAGCACTTTAGAGGATCCAAGTACTAAACCGAAAGTACCTGAAGCAATTTATGTGTAGTACGAGGAGGTTTAGGGTCCTCTGGTGGATCCGGCACTTGCTTCCCTCCTTTGGTCTTTGGCTGCTCCTTTCTCCTCTTGGACTAAACAGTTGCATTCAGAATTCAGAAGAAAAATAGAAAACACAGTTAAATTCACAGAACACAAGAGATTCAAAAGCTTCTATTGAGACATGATATGACACAGAAATTTTAAGCATGGAAAAAAAAGAGAAAAAAATGGAACCTTTGGAGATGATTGAGAAAAGTACACATCAGCATCAGCATCGTATCCATACTTCTCAAGCAAGATTTTTTTCTCTTCACTAGCCAACCCATTTCCTGATTCTGCAAACGATTGAAGAAACACAAGATTCCAATCATCTTGGAGCATAAAAATTGATTAAAAAAAAAAGATTTTTTTTTTTTTTTTTTTGGGGGGTGAACTAGCAATAATGAACTTACTAGTGTAACAAAAGAGGGTGAGTGAGGAAAGGCGATTGTTGGGTGTGGAGGAGAAGGTGAGAAGAGGAAGAGGTGATGAAGGAGATGACGACCCAAGATTTGTTTTGGTGTTTAGAAAGAGTGGTGAGAGTGTTGGAGGCAACAAAACCGCCATTGTTAGAAGCGGAGAGTATGAGAAATTGGTTGAATGAATAAGAAAGAAACTGAGATAGTTGAACTTGGTCGTTGGAGCTAAAGAAGGGTGTGTGAGTTGATAGGTTCCATGGTTTCACTCTGAGAACTCAGATACGATGATACCAACTCTTTTTCTGTGTGTGAGGAACTCATTACTCAACACTCAACACTACACAACCGTCATGACATGACAAACAACTTTTGTTAGATTAGAGTTAGCGATAACGAACACCAAACACAAAGGAGAAAAACATTTCGCAGCAAAAAATAAATCATCTTCTAAAACGGTGTGCGTTTCATGCCGTGGGTGTTGGCTACACAAGTTAAGTAGATAGGGAAGGGATTTGTTCAGGAAGGTAATTACAATTTGAGAAAAGTGGTTGTGTTTTTAAATGACATAATTTATATTATTTTATCTTTTACAAAAAAGTGGGATCTATATCTTTATTTTTTGGATAAATTACATAAAACCACCTCAAAGTTAAGTGCTTTTTTAAAAAACCACCTTTAACTTTCAATTGAATCAATTTAACCCTTTATACTTTCAAATAGTAACAATTAAGCATATTTATTAATTTTAAGACAAAAATATCCCTATCTCATCCCACCATCCATGTTGATCATTGTCTCTGCCATCACTCATTGGTAATGTCTTCACCCACTAACAATCACCCTCAACAATCATCCATTACCGTCCACTATCCATTGTTTGCCGTCAGTCATCCCTCACCGGAAAATTTTAAAAAAAAAGTTAATTCGAATCTGTTATACTACCCACGTTTTGTCGTAAGGGATGATTTTTAATGGGGAATGGTTTGGAATGTTACCAAAAAAAATGTTAATTAAATCTGCTATACTGAATGTTAATTCGAATCTGCTATGCATTTTTCTTCTTAATCTGAAACTTGAAATTGGATATCAAGTTATGAATTTGTCAACTAGCATAGCTTATCATTGAATTATGATTTTAGTATAATTTCTGCACAATATGATACAATACGCGAAATTGTATCTGAACAGAGAGAGAATTAACAGGAAACAGAAAACAATTCTTTATTCACGATACCCATTGTCTTTACACTCCATTGTATTATATAGTGGTCAATACCCACTTGAATGAGACACTATACATCAGTTATGCTAACTAACCGTATATAAGCCTAATATCTATTAATTGGACCTTTCAGTGACTTTACAATACATAATCTTTAGTCCATATAGGCTCTTTTCTCTTCCTCATAGGCCTGCTATCTTCACATGTAACAACTGCCCCATCTTCAAAAACAACCTTGTCCTCAAGGTGTAAGGAAGGGTAGACATTTTGAAGCTCTCCCACAGATTCCCATGATGCATCTTCAGGGACTGTTTGAGACCATTGGACCAAAAATTGCTGTTGTGGTCTTCCACGGATAGATACAGTACGTGAACTCAACACTGCAACTGGGACTTGGAGCGGTTTGTTATCCACACTCTCAAGAGGCAAAGGTGAAGTACTAAGGTTGGCTGAACCATGAAAAGGTTTGAGGCTGGAAATGTGGAAGGTAGGATGGATTTGACTACCTTCTGGTAATTGTAACTGATAAGCAACAGAGCTAATAACCTTCTGAATTGGAAAAGGGCCAAAATACCTCTTGGAAAGTTTGTGGTTTGCTCTCCTTGCCATTGATAGTTGTCTATAAGGTTGAAGACGAACTAGGACTAGATCACCCACTTGAAATGTGTGATCACGACGGTGTCTATCCGCTTGTAGCTTCATTCTATGTTGAGCCCGTCGCAGATTCACTTTGAGATTGGCTAAGACCTCATCCCGCTTCTGCAGTAGGTTGTCCAATGCCTCAATTTTGATCAAGCCTCTTGGATACATAGGTAACATCACTGGTGTTCTCCCATACAATGCTTGAAATGGAGATGTATTGATTGAAGAATGAAAAGAGGTATTATAATGCAACTCTGCCCAGCAAAGATAGGAAGACTAAGCATGATTCTGTTCTGAGCAAAAAGCGCGAAGATACTGTTCAATATATCGGTTGGTTACCTCAGTTTGACCATCGGACTGAGGGTGATATGCAAAGGTGGCATGGAGTTTTGTACCACTCAACTGAAATAACTTCTTCCAAAAATTGCTCAAAAATATTGGATCACGATCAGAAACTAAGGATCTAGGAAAACCATGAAGTTTCACAATCATGTTACAAAAGAGGTGAGCCACTGTTGAAGCTGTGTACGAAGTAGGTAATGGACCAAAATGTCCATATTTTGTGAGTCTATCAACTACCACTAAGATGGTAGTAAATCCCTGAGACTTTGGTAAAGCCGTAATAAAATCCAAAGTTAAATCATCAAAGACAGCTTCAGGAATAGGTAATGGATTTAACAAACCCATAGGAGCCTGGGTAGAAGTCTTCACCTGTTGACAAATGGTGCATTGAGTGATGAAGTCTTTGACCTCCTTGCGCATATGTTTCCAAAAGAAAGAAGCCGAGAGTCTAAGGAAAGTCCTCAGCACCTGCATGGCCTCCCAATGGTGTGCAGTGTGCTTCAGTGATCAGCATAGCTTTAAGCTGGGAGTGTGTGCCCAACATGAATCTGTCCTTGTGAAACAATAAGCCATCCTTACATGTGATGGAAGGGTCCTTGTTTGTACCATCTTTCAAGGACTGATGGATAACTAAGAGGTCTTGGTCTGAAGAATTTTCGGACTTTATATGATGAATAATATCAAACTTTGGTTCAGACATCAAGGTTAAAACAGTACCTTGCACCATGTCATCATGTTGTCTAGATAAAGAGTCTGCCACCACATTTGAAAGTCCACTTTTGTACTCAATGTTAAAACTATATCCAAGAAGCTTAGACATGTACTTTTGTTGTTCAGGAGTCTGAATTGTTTGAGTAAGCAATTGCCTCAAGCTTTGATGGTCTATCCTTATCACAAAATGAGACCCTAGGAGATAGTGCCTCCACCTCTTGACAGCTTCAGTGAGTGCATATAGCTCACGGACATAGGTCGAAGCTGCTGCCAATCTCACCCCCAATTTCTTACTAAAGAATGACACAGGTTGACCCTTTTGTAATAAGACAGCTCCTACACCAAAACTTGATGCATCAGATTCAATGACAAAAGAAGAGCTAAAATCTGGAAGATGTAAGACAGGTGTTGTGGCCATGGCAATCTTCAACTTGTGGAAAGATGCATCAGCCTCTTTAGTCCATGAAAACCTGTCTTGTTTCAACAACTCGGTTAGTGGATGGGCTATGGAAGCATAATGTTGTACAAACCTCCTATAATATCCTGTTAACCCAAGAAAAGCCCTTAGTTGCTTGGTAGATTGAGGGATAGGCCAATCGGTTATGGCAGATAACTTCCTTGGATCAGCCTTTACACCAGAAAACATCACTACATGACCCAGATATGCTATCTCCTGCACACCAAACTCACACTTGCTCAGTTTAACAAAAAAAGAATGTTGTAATAAGCACCTTAATGCAATATCTAAATGTTGGACATGTTCCTCCATAGAAGAGCTGTAGATCAACCCATCATCAAAGAAAACTACTATGAATTTGCGCAAATAAGGTTTAAAAATTTTGTTCATTGCCGCTTGAAAAGTAGCCGGAGCATTCGTTAAACCAAATGGCATGACACAAAATTCGTAGTGGCCTTCATGTGTTCTAAAAGCGGTTTTGTGAATATCTTCAATCTTCATGCGGATTTGATGATATCCGGATCGCAAATCCAATTTACTGAAAACAGCAGCTCCAAATAGCTCATCCAACAACTCATCAATGGTTGGAATTGGAAAAACATCCCTAACTGTTATAGAATTGAGAGCACGGTAGTCTATACACATACGCCAGCTATTATCCTGTTTTCTCACTAACAAGACTGGTGAAGAAAAAGAGCTATGGCTGTATTGAATCAAACCCGAAGCTAACATGTCAGCAACCTGTTTCTCTATCTCCTCTTTTTGATGATGAGGATAGCGATAAGGTTTAACAGCAACCGGTTTGGAATTTTCCACCAATTGAATAGCATGAGCCATGTCTCTGAATGGTGGCAACGAGTTTGGAATTGAAAATACTGAACAGCAGTTGATTAAAACTGACCATAAAACAGGGTTAACCGTATCCTTCAGAGCCTGTAACTCTGAATTCACCTTTGCTTGAGCCTCCTCGATAGGTTGCAGTGCTAGAGTATTACATGCACCTTGCATCCCTGCTGTTGCTGATCCTGTTCCCTGTTGCTGGCAGCCACTCAATTGAACTGGTATTCCTTGCCAAACAAACTCCATGGATAGATTGTTATAATCATGTGTGACCTTGCCTAGTTGAGTTAACCAATGCATTCCTAGAATGACATTTAATTCACTCAACTCAATAACCCACAGATCTGTGATAAAGCCATGGCCTTGAATGTTGAGTGTGACATTGGAACACTTTCTATCACACAGTAAAAATTCTCCACTGCCCATAAAGACCCTCATCTTGGAAGATTTTGTCATGGGCAATCGAATTTCCTCAGCAAGCCTCCTTCTAATAAAATTGTGAGAACTTCCAGAATCCACTAACACACTCACCTCCTGCTTCCCTATACTGGCCTGCAATTGTATGGATCGTGGATTATTACTCCTGAACAAAGAATTCAAAGTTACATCAATTCCGTTGCCCTTGGGTTCCTCCATACCCCACACTATCTCTTCTTCTTGCTCTTCACCCACATCCTCCACTTCTCCTATAAGGAGCATCATTTTGGCTTTGCATCTATGTTTCGCCGTCCATTTTTCATCACATGTGAAGCAAATACCCAATTCACGCTTCTTGCGGATTTCCTCAGTAGATAACTTTCGAACAGGTACTGTGGATGGGGCGGGTAAGGCTAGTGTTTGGGATGATTGAATAGTTAAATGAGAGGGTTTATCTGGTTTGATGGGTGAGGCAGGACGATGAAATGATTTCTTGGTAGAATTTATGAAAGAGGAACGAAGCTCAGAATGATGTGTATCATAAGCTAATGCTAATTGCATAGCTTGATGCAAACTGGTGGGCCAATGTAATTGAATTGCTCCCTAGAGATCAGGTTGCAAACCCGAAATGAATAGAATCATTAAAAAGTTATCACTGAGGTCATGTACCTGGTTCATCAATCTCTGAAATTCACGCATGTAATCCGCCAAAGAACCAATTTGGGTCAATTTAGCAAGAACACCTCTGACATCTCTGTAATGTGACGACCCAAAACGTTGCCGCACAGCCTTAGTGAACTCCTCC